TGAAGCTGAGGCTCCAGTACTTTGGCCATCTCATGAGAAGAAAAGAGCCCTTGGAAAAAACCTTGATGTTAGGAAGGTGTGATGGCAAGAGGAGAAGGGGACGACCGAGGATGAGATGGCTGGACAGTGTCTGCGAAGCAACCAACATGAATTTGAGTCAACTCCGGGAGGCAGTGGAAGATAGGAGGGCCTGGCGTGCTCTGGTCCATGGGGTCACGAAGAGTCGGACACGACTAAACGACGACGAGTCGCTATTATATTGACCTGTAGGGCATCCGAACGTGCAGCCCTATGAGTAGACCCTCTGTTCCTGCAGTTTCAACCAAATAGTCACAATGTATCCAGACATCTCCTTCCTCCCTAAGGTTGTTTCTGAATTTCATGTCTGTCAGCCTATTGTCCTCCCTACCTTCTTTCCATCCCCAACAACAGACATCGAGCAATCCCTCCACCTTCTGGATGTGAGAAAGGCTCCCGTGTTCTATGTCAAAAGAACTGCCTCCTTTCGGAAGTCTAAGACGCTGTTTGTTTCTGTGCATTTGCCACATAGAGGGACACATAGAGGCTCCACCCCTCACATGTGGGACCCCCCGCCATGTGTTGTTCCACCCCAAGCAGAACCAAAGGGGCTGGAGACACTCGCTGCAAGTGTGTGTGGGGGGGGCAGAGTCACACATGCTCGCACAGCCATGCAGCTTGGTATTCCATATATTTCAGTTTTTTGACAAAGATAGTGTGGCATTTATTTTAACAGTAGCACAGAATGCTTTCCTCATTGTTCTTGGTGATGATTTGTGTCTGTTGACATCTGGGACAGTTCCTAGACTGAGACAGTTAGCATCTCACCTGCCTTGGCCACAAGCTTTCTGTGGCTGAAATTATGCAAATGGTATACATGTCTGAAGCAATCAAAATGCACAGGAAACTTTCATCTCTCTGGTTGCTGTGAATACATTTTGTAATTTGATTTCCCAAAGGAGACATGAGAATCTTGCTTCTCTCTTGAGCCAAGCCAGATACACCAATTTATTCTCCAGAGAAATGAAAGAAGAGAAATTGTTAATTTTAATTATTATACTTTGTCACAAAAACAGACTAGGAGGTAATATTGCACATGGTAAAACTCCACAGACAGATTATGATGGCAGTAATGATGATGATTTCAAATATGTAGCAGCTGTAGCAGAAGTAGAAATAAGGAAGTTCCTTAAAAGCAAAGGTGCTGTACAGAAATGAAATGTAATACCGTGCTAGATACAACTTTGTATGTTTACAATATAAGAAATAGAAGACCTTAAGGAAGCAGAGATAACATAAAAGGAATAGTGCTCAGCAAACTCTGCTAGGCTCTTACACCCTGCTTGCAGAAACCATGAGTTTTGCAGCTTTTGTGGATATATTTTCCCTTTCTTTAATGCAGCAATTTTTGCTTTCTGTTCAGCTCACAATGTGTTTACATCTGGTAAGAGTGCTTTGAAAAGCATTCAGAATACCATATGAGAGAAGCAGAACAGGAGAAGCCTCTGGGGGAAGCCTAGTACTGCAGCTGTCCCTTCTTTCTCTTCCCCTCCCATTCTTTCTCTCAGTCTCTCTCACACAGGCACACACGGGCACGCACACACACAAATGCACAGAGTGTTACACCAAGATATATGTACACACACAGACACACAGATGCCTCCTGGAAGAAGACGAAGGGCAGTGTCCTGAAATGAAGCACACTGTGTGTCTGTGTAAGAAAACAAGCAGAGCTTGTGAAAAAGGAGGGGCAGCTGGGAGCCTTCTCAGGCCGTGCTTTTCATGCGCATTGTTAGTGGAGTTCCGTGTCCCTGCCATCTCCCTGTGGCTTCCAGTTCTCAGCATCAAGAGCCGGCACCAGAGCTGGTTGTCATAGGGTAAGTCAGGAGTGGGGAGCCTCAAATGGCATTATGCTCAAGATGGGTGTGAATTGAAGATATACTGCATGTTAGGTGTGTGTTCTCAGCTCTTGGATGTCTAACTGCACGGGGGCACACTGACATATATTCAGAGCAGTAATCTCAGCTAGAATGTGAACCATTCTTACACATGGTTTGTGAAGGGAGTGGCAGGGGAAGGGGTTTCTGAAGATGAATTCTGTGGTGCTAGCCTATTTTGAATCTGTTGTTCTGTGTTTATATGCTGCCTGCTTGTTAAAATTTGAACTGGGGAGGTAAATATCATAGTGGAGTGTTGAATTTGAGAATACAAATAGTAAAATGGTTTAATATGATTTTAATAATACTAGGCAAAATGGTTTGCAATACGTTTCCTGTATATTGTGCTTTTAATATACAGTACTAAGACTGCTGACTCTAGGGTGCAGCCAAGTGTGGGATTTTTTTCTTGTAATGAAGTCACCTTGAACAATTGCTAATAAAGACCGTATGATTAAATAAATAATATCTAGGTGCTTGAAAGTCTACACTGGAGAATTTCTGATTGCATGTTTGAAAATGTTTAATGAAGCTGTATTTCTGTACTTTGTATATGTTTCACAACTGGGAGGATCTCTTAATGAACTGTTACAAACAAAGCAACACATAGCAATCACTTTCGAGCATTTTAATATCACAATTTGAAGCTCATTTTCCAATCTCAAGTAATATGTTTCTTTTATACGGAAGTGTTGGATCCAACATTTTCTGTTAAAATGTCAGCTGGCAGAACCTTTTAATCAGTAACTACACTGTGGGTAAATGAGTAAGCAAGCTTGCATTTCACAGAAGAAAAACAGCTTAAGATGCTTTTACCTAAATGGAAGGAAATACAGTTGTGTGAAAATATTTTATTAAATATGTGTTGTATTGTGCAGTATTGTATTTAAGAAAAGAAACTTCCTTTAAAAATGTTACAGTTTCACATTTTTCATGTACAAGAGCATATACATGCTGGATAAGTAACATATTTGTATCCTGGAAGAAAAACATGGAAGTGGGGAGAAAGATCTCTCTGGCATATGCAGCAAATACTAAGCAGTAAGTGAAAGCCTGGAAGCTATTTTATTGGATCTCAGCTCCCATCAAGAGTATACGGAATGTCAGTGATGAGAGATGATGGGAACTGGAGTTTAACAATATCGGGGGGGGGATATGGTCTCCACTCTGGATATATAAAATGTCTTCTTAGCTTGAGAAGCTGGTGATTGACTGGCTGTTCTGTTTCATGCACAATTTAAATAGTACAATTGTTTGTTTTACATATGAATTAGGAATAAAAATGGGCATGAACCACACAGTGCCTGCACAGGTTTTCTGCAGGGGCCACACTCTTTGAGCATGCTTTCCTGCTGTTCTGACTCAGGCCCAGTCACTGGTAGCAATGTGAGCTTCCCAGCCCCACCTCCAATGACTGGGTGATGGCCCAAGCAGGTGGAGGAGGATGGTGCACAGTGCTTGTGGAACACCTGTGCAGGTGCTGTGCCGAACTGGGTCAAGTCTCCATAGTATGATTCATGCCCATCTCTAACTAGGAAAAAAAGGAAGAAGAAACTACTTTAATTTTCAGGTTGCTCATTTTTCTGGCTCCTTCCATGGTATTTGTAAATGTTGTTTATAGCTGATCATCAGGGCTTGAAAAATTTTTTTAGAATGTCTCACCAGTCAGTCAAAAAATTCACCAGTCAGCATGACCGGACTGTAGCCTTGCAATTTATGTTAACAAATTTTGCTTATTTACCTGCGTGCCTGTGGGGTCATGGAGCTTGTATTTTGAATGCCTTTCTTTTGAATGTCTCCAGCAAAAATAAAACTGAAAGCAAAAGCGCCCAGCCACTTAAGGAGCAAAGTTCCCTCCCACCCCAGGATGTATCCTCATTGGGTTCAAATTGGGAGCAGAGAAACTCTGGATTCTCCAGCGTGGAACTACTCTACATTCTCTTGCAGAGCTATATTTCTATATGCCACTTGAACCCTCTTCTCATGAGAAAAGGGCAGTTTTCCTTTTGCAATGGGAGGGGGAGAGGAGGACTGCAGGATTAGAGAGAGAGAGGCAGAGGGGAAGGAGGCAGGCAGGGAGGGAGTGGTGACACATTGAGTAGCATTTTTCACTTGTCACAGACGAGTGGACGAGTGCATTTTTCAAGCCCTGCTGATCATCTATTGAATGAACAGTGCATATTTTTGTCCCCCTACACTTAAAAAGATGGAACAGGATTTTATGTTGGCTACATAACCATAATACCCAGCATGTACGTACTGCTTTGGAATAATAACCCCCTCCCAAAAAAAATCCCCTGCCACTTATGATTCTGCCAGTGCTCTTTAATAGGAAACAGGTTGAAATCCTGTTATTTAATGTAGTAAGTTATACTAGAGAAGGCCCATTGAATCAGTGGGGATTGGTGAGTAAACTGCTCTGTAAGTTCCATTGAGTCAAATGGGCCTACTCTGGTTATGACTTACTACACTAAAATAAGTCACAATTAGAATAAACCCATTTGAATTAATAGAATTTAGAGAAGTGTTGACGCACTGATTTGAATGGGCCTACTCTAGTGTGACCTACTTTAATGTAGTCTGTCACAACTAGAATAGGCTGATTTGAATCAATGGAACTTACAGAGCAATTAACTCACCAGATCGCTACTGATTCAGTAGGGCTCCTCTAGTGTAACTTCTTCCATTAAGCAACAGGATTTCAGCCAGTGTTTGCATCTGGTGGGAACATGCATGCTCCCCCACCGTTTCGTGCATGCGCCCAAGCGAGCATGGGGGCCCCGTCCTTCCTCAGATGCTCAGCTGGTCCGCAGTCCCAAAAAGGTTGGGGAGTGCTGAATGAGAGCATCCTTGAATGTTTGAGTTCATTAGAATGACTGTCCTCCACCCCTGCCTTATTCACAGTTCATTTATTGGGTGCTACATATGGTCAATATATACAACAATAATGTTATTATTTTACAGTTATATCAGGATTTCTAGCAAGAGAATTTAATTCTCATAAGATGCTTTTTCGAGGAGGGGTTGTGCTCTGCTGCCTTGGAAGATAGCAGCATGAAAGACTAGCTGCACTCCAAGCCTGCCTATTATAAACTAATTAAATGTGTAAAAGCCTTTGACTGTGTGGACCACAGCAAACTATGGCAAGTCCTTAAAGAAATGGGAGTGCCTGACCACCTTATCTATCTCCTGAGAAATCTATACGTGGGACAGGAAGCAACAGTTAGAACTGGATACGGAAACACTGATTGGTTCAAAATTGGGAAAGGAGTACGACAAGGCTGTATATTGTCTCCCTGCTTATTTAACTT